TTTACGAAGGAAAAGAGTATAAAAGAGATTTACGTTATAATCGATTGAACTTCTATTCCCAGACCGACTTTTATCTTTGGACGACATTTTATAACACTTGGCTTATTAACCAAGCTACTATTGAATATATACTATTCTTTTATGCTGTTAGAGTTTGAAGTTGTACTTTATAACGGATTACCGATAGATAGAAGCTTTTATATTAATCCTATACTTGCTCGAGATCAATTCGTTATTCGAAGTACAGTAACAACTATATTTGATAGACGGTTTGATTATCGACTACCAGCTTCTATTAATACAATTGACGAACCAGTACTTTTTAGCACTTGGTGGTTCTCTTATAAGACAACTGACTCTACTGTTATACAAGAAACCAATTGCCTTACTTTTCCCTTAACGTATTTACGCTCCGGTACTTCCTCTTCTAATCGTTCTACTCCTAGATCTACTCCTAGGGTTGTTCCACCCTCCCTGTCTAGCCCTGCTGCTCCGCCTTATCCTCTTTCTTCTCAGGGACGTTCTCCTGCTAACCAATTAAATAACGAGTTACCCGTTGTTCCTGAAAGTGTTAGGAGCGTTGTTCAAGATTTACTTTCTCGATCCATTATACCTATTGCCCCTACGGTGCCTTTAACTGAATCCATAGAACCCTCCACTACTAGACGAGGTGTTAGATTTCGTGGAGTTGTATTAGAACCCGAAGTGCCTGAAGAAGAGACTGAAGAGACTAGACATTAGCTTATTAAAGTGTTATTACCTTGGTAGCGTACACATAACACACTTGGACAACTAAAATTTTATATTTATATACCAGAGCAACCAGTTGTTCCATACTAGATACTAATATATCTAGAATAGCCTCGTTTCGGTCGGAACCGATGTTTAGCTCGCTCTCTTGTGAGCCATTTGGGGAAAGGACTTGAGGTGGTCTTGCTTGATGGCAGGCAAGGATTCGATTCGAACGAGGGAAGAAGCCTCCTGACTGCATCTCGAACTGACGGCCAATAAATTGCCCATCTATAAGGCTGAGGAGCCTAGATCTTGTGGAATTTCACATGATGGCAGTGGATGAGTCTTTCGAGAACTTGATGTCCCAGTCATAAAACCCATCAATTATCGTCTTTTGAAGACCTGTTGTAGTGTTCCATAAGTTGACCTCATTCGACGTATTTATTGTCAACAGATAATTTCCATCTGGAGAAAGCCATATTTTTCTGATTTTTGTTGGATCGTCAGAATCCAAAGCAGCCGGACCACCCAGTTGGAATGGGTGAAGTGTCATAGTGTTTCGGTTAAAATAGATAAAGGCTGAGCTTGACCATGAAGTGCGGAAATGATGGAGATGCCCCGAATTGAATTCATGATTTACCAGACAATCGCCCGAGGTGCGATCAAAGACTTGGATGCAAGCTTTCCTAGAAATGGCTAATTTCCCCCCATCAGAAGAGAAAGACACACCGACTCGATGTGAAATTTTGGCCCCTCGAAGGGTCGTTGTTGCTATGAGAGAACCATCCAAGGGATCAATGGTTTTGATACTTCCCCTAGTTAGAACAGTGATTTCATTCAAGCTTGGAAGGTACTGAATATTAAGGTGTCCTATTTGAGGTATTCTCCACAATTCATTGCCATTAAATGAGGAAATGAGTCCAATAAACTGCTGTCCAGACAATCTCCAGCCTGAACAAAGAATTGCGTTGGAATCTGGTGAAAAGTGGACCTCAACAAGGGTTTCGGATCGATGTAACAACCTCCTAAAAAGTTGATCTCCTGTAGAACATTGCCATGCGATAAGGACCTGGTTCTTATCTCCAAGGTGAAGCACTTTCTCTCCCTGTCCCGAGCTAAATAACCATTTATCCTTTTCTTCGCCTTC